AAAAATAATAATAATAATAATAATAACTAGATGAGATCTCGTTGCGAGCAACGAATAGTATTCCGTCCGATTTCTTGATAAGATGAGATGTGATTTTGACTGAGATATTCGTAAAAAGAAAATGATTTAAAGTTTTCCTCCGTAAAATTTCCTTCTTTTGATTCATATCATATCTTGACTATCTATTGTGTTCAATATGGTTTATTAAAATATTCCTCATTTACGAGAAATAAAGCTTCAGAGATTTAGCATTCTGGTCCCTTGTGACCCCTTAGCTTTTATGTAACATTTGATCAAAATTTTAAAATACTATTTTGTTGCAAATCGTAAAAATAAATGCCTATTGCTTCAGAAATGTATTATAAAATATTGATTATTGAAAGGTCTTGTGATTTTCAAGACTTTTTGTTCAAAACCTATTCAGAAATTTTCTTTTTGTCTCGGAGATACGCTTAATGGAAATATTTAGGGGCCACTCCTGCAAGTCCTTAATGGGGCCATTTTACAAAAAATTCAAAGTATGCATATTGTTTACAACACTATTCTGGTCATCTTTTGTTCAATATTGCTTATCAAAATATCCCCCCTATTGGAGATATGAAGCGTCAAAGATTTAGCATCCTGGCCCCTTGTGACCCCTTATAACTTAATACATGAGCAAAATTTTATAATATATTGTTGCAGATCGTTAAGATGAATATCTTTGCTTCTGTAATATATCACAAAATATTGATCATTAAGAAGTTAAAGATGAAAGACTTTCGGCCCCTTTGAGCCCCTAATTTGAGTAGTCAGCCCCTTTTTCTTGATATCAAATGAAAGGTCTTGTGATTTCCAAGACTTTTTGCTCAACACTTATTCATAGATTCCTTTTTGTTGTGGAGATATGCTGAATGGAAATATTTAGGGGCCGTTTCTGCAAGTCCTTGATGTAGCCATTTTACAAAACTTCAGAGTATGCATATTGCTTAAAACATTATTCTGATCATCTTTTGTTCAATATTGCTTATCAAAATATTCTCCCTTTTCGATGTATGAAGCGTTAAAGATTTAGCATTCTGGCCCCTTGTGACCCCTTATTACATAATATATATGATCAATTGTTTTCAATATATTGTTGCAAATCGTTAAGATGAATATCTTTGCTTCCTTAATGTGTCACAAAATATTGATTGTTAAAAAGTTAAAGATGAAAGACTTTCGGCCCCTTTGAGCCCCTAATTTGAGTAGTCAGCCCCTTTTTCTTGATATCAAATGAAAAGTCTTGTGATTTCCAAAACTTTTTGTTCAACACTTATTCATAGATTTCTTTTATTTGTGGAGATATGCTGACTGGAAATATTTAGGGGTCACTTAATGTCCTTAATGGGACCATTGCACAAAAATTCAAAGTATGCACATAGTTTAGAATATTATTCTGACCATCTTTTGTTCAATATTGATTATCAAAATATTCCCTCTTTTCAAGATATGAATCGCCAAAGATTTAGCATTCTGGCCCTTTGTGATCCCTAATTACGCAAGATATGCTTAAAAATTATCATATACAGTTGCAAATGGTCTTAAATTAAAAGATTTCAAAAAATCGAGCAGAAAAAGTAATAAATTTTTTTATAAACACACGGGGGATCGAACCCGGGTTGCCTGCGTGACAATCCAGCGCGCTAACCATTTAGGCATTAGGATAGCCGCTTCGAATTTTCAAATGCTAATATCTCGAGATTGGCTTTTTCGATTTTCAAACAAATTACATGTTTCGCTTCTGGAAAAGAGTCTCTATATAAATCAAAAATAAAAATATTAAAAAACAAAAGTTGAAAAAATGCATTTTTTAATTCGCTTCCGGTAGCGACCGGAAGTATTGACGACGCATGAAAAGGTGATTCTGCAAACGTTTGACCATGAACTTTTATCACCAATAAGTCTCCAGTTCATATCATTAGTCATTCTCGAGAAACAGGGGCGACAAAATTGCATTTTAAAATCAGGAAATTGTCGAATTCTCAAGACTGGAAGTGAGGTCATCAACAACAAAAATTTCCAATAAGGTTCAGATTAGAACCTATCAGATGTCAAAGTTTCATGGGAATCGATCCAGTCGTTTTTGAGAAATCTTGTGCACAAGAACGGTAAGAATAGGGAAAAAGAAACCGAAGAATAACAAGAAGGTCTTCCGTTGGAGACGGAAGACCGTAATAATAATAAGAAGAGACCGGAAGACCTTAAATATGAAAAAATAAAATTATTTTTGATGATTTGTTAATTTGAAAGATCTAGTCTACCTTTTGGTCTTAGGAACATCGATCATAAATTTACAGTTAAGATAAAAATAACTATTACATGCGATTTATTTTGTCGTTTGTTAAATCCCACACAGCAAAGTATAAACGATTCATTGATTACAATGCTCTTTTTAATGTGACATCATCTCGTATACCTTTACGTATTTTGTACGCAATGAGAGGCTCATCAAGTCAATTTTGTACAATGAAGCATGTCTTTTGCTATCAAAGAGAACATTATGCATGTATGTTGAATCTATGCCCCTACTGAAAATAATCACGTCTGTACTTGACAAAATTTGAAATGAAAATGAATTTAGATGACATGTAAAAAATAAAAAAAGACAGATCAGCACACCCAGCCCAAATTACATTTTACACTCAAAAGTTACGTATCTTTGAATATAACTGCTCAAAAGCGGGTTTATTCACAAAGGATAAACCTCATTATATAAAATGCCGTTAACCTAGAAGCTATCTATATTTTACAATTTCATTTTCATAATCTCCGTCTATTTTCCAAGCAAGTACTGTCGTGTATTTGTTTGCAGATTCATTAAAAAAGTAATATAATAGTCCTTGTTAGCCATATTATTACAAGGGCATACCCCCAATGTATCTTGCCAAGTGTTTACACATACTTTCAAGAGGCATTTATATATTATAAACGTGCTGCAAACCACATTTAATCTTGCACATTAAATAATTATAACTATAATTTATGTAGTAAGTTAATTAACCAGAAAAATTTTCAACCTGCCGTAAAACATATGTAGTTTTAGCAATTAAATAACTTTTCACAAAGCACATAAAGTGTTGAAAAGAATTATAAATTAAGCGAAGATTTAAACCTCGTTACATTGTATACCTTTGCAATATTGGAATTTTTAAAATTAATGATCTCAAAACTGCAAGTATATTTGCTAAAATCATTTAACTCCGAAATCAGTTGACAAGTCTATATACAATTCTAAATATCCGCAGCATGTAGATTTGAACCGTATTGCAGTATTCAGATATTAAATAAGTCCAAAAAATCGCCAATCATTCTTAAAATAAAGGACAAGATAAGGTGAGAGCAGTATTTGGTCCCCAAGTTTGCCTGTCTTTCAGAATGATCCAACAGTTTATCCAAAAAAAAAGTGTTGTCACCCCTGCCACTAAATGAGTATTGGTTTTAAGATTTGAAATATACAGGGCACACAGTGAGGTCAGGAAATAGGTCAATTTCCGTCATTTCTCATTCTTATGCAAATTTTCATCAATTTTACAGTACATTTTCTTTCGAAAAACATAGAGCACACGCTTGCCTATCTACCAAATTTATATATTTTATACACTAATACCAGATGCAGTTTATGTGTAAAAATCTCAGATAGGCAAGCTTGTGCTCTATGTTTTCCGAAGAGAAATGTATCCCAAATATGATAAAATTCCACCAGAATTGAGGAAACTCTAGAAATCGCCCTATTTCTGCGCCCTCTAGTGACTTCTATGTAAGCTTTGAATCAGAATTAGTGCTTGTATTAAAGTGAGGATCATTTTAACTTCTGAACTACAAACTATCACAATTCTACCATTGTTCTGATTTTTATATCAAATAAGGGGCCAGATTCGGCTGTTACCCTATCTTGTCCTTTACCAATATTTCCATGTCGCCTTAAATGAATAATATATACATGTATACCAAAATGGAAGAATTCGTTCAATGCTTACAATGAAGAAGTTGAAATGTTCAAACGTTAACAAACAACGAACTACGACGGAATAGATAAAATCAAAGGCCTGAAGGGCCTGCGAGTTGACTAGCTCGAGTTAATTGAGCATTTTTTCCATACATTTGGACACCATACCTTAATCATATATTCAGTTTATTTTACATCTTAACAGATTGAATATTACATGTCTCCACGTTCGGTTCAAAATTAATTAAAAGTGTATATTGCTTTTCCTATTTACATGTATATATACAGGTTGGCAATAATGGGCTTCCGTACATATTATTGCAGCACTGCAAACCTGGATTCTACAATGAATTTAAGCACACTAGCTGCAGTGGTCAGTGTTATGGAGTAATTAGTTTAAAGATTTCCACAGCAAATCTGGATTCTAAAAATAGATTTTCAAGCACACTAGCTGCAGCTAATGAGAGCAGCAGGTGTTTGTGTTAGGAAGTATTCTAGGTCAATTTTATGTAGTATACATAAACTTCAGATGCCAGGGAAGATTAGATCCGCCTAACATGCTTGAACATATATTCATACGCAGTAATTGTACATGTACAGATACTTAATAAAAAAAATCAGGAAAAGCATGAAGACATAAGTAAGGTAACAGTATGACATATTATACAGTTTTTACCTCCTAAGTTTATCATGGTTTATACAATCACTCAAATAAAAGCATTTTTTGCTAGAACTATCATATCTGGCGTATGGATCACCTTGATGAATGCGTGAACATTTTACAGCTCTGATCATGAAACGTCTATGTCAACAAAGAGTAGCTCGCTACGCGAGCCAACTAAAAAAATAGCCACATTTGAGTCAGGTGACCAAATATAAAAGAATTTTTTTTTTATTGGAATGCAAAATGAAGCAGAAACTCAATAAATCTGCTCTTTTTACAAAGATTGATATTATCCAAAGGTTATTAAGATACATATCCGTACTATTCTTATAACTCTGTCATCTATGCCTCTTTTTTCATTCTTTTTAGTTGGCCTTGAAAATGAAGACAAAACTTCAATCGCCTACAAAGAGACAAGTGCAGACTTTTCTTCCCTACTAGATAAAGGTAAAAGCAAGATATTTAGAAGCTTCAAATACATGCAAATATCAAGAATGAAATATCTGACGATTTCCGACACATCCGGGTCGTTCAAAATAGAATGCCAGTACAGTGTTTTTTTTCACTATTTTTATTCAGTATTGTTTGGTGTATTTCATCGTTTTAAGTAATTAGTAATAAAACCCAAATGTTTAAAATCTAGTTCTTTCTTAAACCATCAAAATTAATCTTTACAATTGTTTGTCATTTTATATTCTATTATTATGAAAATTTTAATTAAAAAAATAAATCTGTGCAGTTGAACTTATTCCCTGAACGCATTTAAATATAACTGATGTTGGTATTGCAAGGAATTTTCACAAATGTTTTATTGCATAATCTGTCTTTAAGTAAAGATATGCTTAAAATATACGTATCTTTCACCACATGTCTTTGCATTACTTACTGAAATTTAACACACATTTTTAATGTGAATTTCGTTTAGATGAAACAAAAGAAGAAATGCGAATTCTTTTGATCGGAAAGACCGGTGCAGGAAAAAGCAGGACAGCAAATACCATCTTAGGAAAGGAGGCGTTTTTATCAAAGGCAAGCATGCATTCAATAACACATGAATTACAATATGGAGAAGTTGAAATCGACGGAAAACGGCTACTGGTCGTTGATTCACCGGGGTTTTTTGACTTGACGATGAGGGAGGAAGATATTGATAGAGAATTACAAAGGTGTGTAGAGTGTACAGCTCCAGGACTGCACGCTTTCGTACTTGTTACTGGCATCGGTCGATTTACTAATGATGATTATTTGGTGTTGCAAAAGTGCAAAGAAAAGTTTGGTGATCATTTAGAAGAGTATTTGATTGTTTTGTTTACTCGAGTTGATGATATTGAGAAAGAGGGGATGTCAATAGAGCAGTTTCTATCAAATGGTGATGAACAGCTTCTGAAGATTCTTAAAAAGGCAAAGAACAGATACATTGCCTTCAATAACCGTGCACCAGAGGACCAAAAGCAAAAAAACGTTTTAAATTTAATATGCATGATACAGCGTTTAATGAAGGAAAATAAAGGTAAAATCTTTTCAAATAAGATGTATCAAGATGTAGAGGAAGCTTACCAGAAGAAAAAGAAGATGGAAGCAGAAGAAATGAAAAGAAAAGAAGAGGAAGAAAAAGAAAAACATTTCCAGGAAATAAAAAGACAGGAGGTCGCCTTAAATGAGGAAAGAGACTTATTGGAAAAAAAGAAAGCTGACGCAGAAGCAGCGGCAATTACCAACATGAAACTACTTGAAGAAAAGTATGAAAAAGAAAAAAAAAGAACTTGAAAAAAAAATGTTTAACCTTCAAGATGAATATCAGAGGCAAAAACATTCTATAAAGGAAAGTAACGACCAAACAACGAGGAACCTGGAAGAAAGACTTCAACAAAAAGAAAGAGAGTCTCGACAGGAAAGAGAAGAAATGCAACTTAAACTTCAGTCCATGATGGCCGAAATGAGAGAAATGCACAAAATGGAACTTGAACAGTTCCGTGAGTCACACAGAGAAACAGGTAAGAATCTCAATCAGATTTTAATCAATATGAACACTTTTTGTGTGTTTTGAATGTTTGCCTGCTTGTTAATTTTATTTAATTAGTCTTCTTAGAAGCAGTATTAGTAGAAGACTTAATATTGTTATTATTAAAAAAGTACTCAAAATAAGTTAATTATTAATGGTAAATACTTTATTATTGTTTATCAAGATCTAAATTACATCCTTTATCTTTCAGTGAGCAAACCTCAGTCAAGTGAATCAGGATGCATATTATCTTGAGCGATTCCAGAATTTTATAATTTAGCGAGAATATGAATCATGCAGAATTTCTCTCAACGTAAAATAAGCATTTATTTTTTTGTATGTAACAGATTGCATGTGTAATTAACATTCTATAATGTTTCATCTTAGTTTTAGTTTTCAATTTAGTATATTTCACCCAGACCAACATATTGGTACATGGGTTAAAGTACATAGATAACATATGTAGAAGACTGTATATACATTATATAAAAAAAAACATTCTGGTAAGAGGTACATATATACAATATAGAAAACATGGCAGAAGATTAAGGGGGAGGATAAAAGTGGGAAAACATATTGAGGAGGACAGACAGCAGCATAATTTTTCGGATAAACATACAAAGTTTTTTTTCAGCATTTTTTTGCTTGTAGTTGACATTATTTCTATGAATTCAACAACATTCGGTCTGTGAGAATAATAATTGTTCAGGTAATTCTTTTGTACATTTCCTAGAGTTTTGCATTCTAAGATATATATGTAATCCATCTGCAATTTGAGTGTTTTACATCACCAAACATTAACTTCTTTAGCATTAGAAGGTATTTATAAAAGAGTGCTTCTAAGCCTAAAAAGTAATACAAAAGCTTAATGTCATAATATTAACTTCTTTTGTTCTCGTTCCAGTTTTAGCTCACATTTTTTGTACATGAATTTTTCACTTCTCTCTTGCATCATATAGTTTTTTGTATTTACAATATCAGAAATTCAATACAATATGTGGAGATAACGAATTGTTTTACACTCAGAAGTCCATTAAACAATACAAATAATGAGCAGAGCACATAGGGACCTCACAAACGTCCTACATGAGATTAGGTGCCATGAAGAAGTAAGCATGTTCTGCCGACCAGTCACACACGCCGTGTGTACCTTGTCATGATTGAGAAATAAATGAAACATTCGTCAACAATTCAGTGTCTAAATAATGGCCTAACAATTAGTATGACTATCGTCAGTCAGCATCTGACTTAATGATAGATTGGCTGACTATGCCATGGTGTCGACTTATGAAATTCTGTCTTTAATTTTACTGCTGCTATTTTTGTTTATTTCATTAAGTTGTTTGTCAATAACTTACCACGTTTTTACTAAATGCACTTGTGTGTAAAGCATACAATTTGTAGTTGCTAGAGTGTATGTATTTGTTTATGAAAATAATACTTTTATTTGCATAAAAATATAAATAGAAACAATTTACAACGTCTGTATATGAATTTACATTGGTTAACATTGCTCATTATTAAAATCTCCCAAATTTTTCTTTTAATTTTATTGATGTTGAATATTTAAAAGCATAAATTACAAACCTCTTTCTAAAAATAATCTTTTGATAATTATTTTTAAAGAAAGTTTATTTTTTCAGATATATATTTTGATATGTCTGGGTTTTTATCAATTATATAAAACAACATTACTTCGTAATCTTAGAAAAAAATATGCAAAGGAGTACATGCAAGACCTCTAACAGTCGTTGGAGTGAGATAAATAACTAATCAAGGGCATAAGGCTAATTTAGCAGTGAGCGTTTTTCAGGGTGGAGAATGTTATAAGCTGTACTTCGATCTTAAAATGAATTTTCCAAACGGGAGTGATTTTTTTTTTTGCAATTTAAGTCAAATGTGAAAATGTGTCATTTAAATTCAAATTTTGAGAGTTTATGCGCATTTTATGAGCATTAATAGTTTTAGAAGAGTAAAAGAAAAGAACATCTTTGAGATCGAAAGATTCTGTGAATTTTATACATCTTGACAATGCAGTGTTATGTTTCAAAAGTATACTTACTTACGTTATTATATTGATTTTGATTTGGTGTTACTTTTATAATAAAACTGCGTTTACTTTTGTCTGAATTTCTGCTTATCAAAAATATTTTGAGGGACTTGGGTTGCAGCCATTTTCAGACTATTTCGATCTCATTTAAAAGAAGAACTCTATATAAAGATATGCACGGATGATCAACTTTTAAAACTAAAGTTTTTGAATGTTTTCTTTACAAAATGAAAATTGACAACAAATAATAAGTTAAATCTGGTAGTTTATTTGTTGACCCCAAGCTTCCTTAAGCAAAAGGAATTTCTTGTGGAATCACTGTCTTGTTAGTATAGTATGCTAGGACATCATCGAAAGTGGGGAACTTGGGATAATTTGCATAACGAGCGAAGCCTGGTATGAATGAATTATCCCATGTCTCCCATGTTCCTACTATCGTTGATGTCCCTAGCATTATACAGTGATTACTTATATATCCATTTCATTGAAAAATAAGATTGTAGATTAAGATTTTTTTTATTTTTTATACACGACGACCCCCATGCCAAATTTAATAGTACTCTTCAATGACGTCAAGCACCAAAAAGGCAGCTGCACGTGATTAACATGCATTATTGGTCTCCTTAGTGCCAGACACAAATTAAGATGCACACGAGAATTAAATGTATATTAGACCTCATAAGCTCCTGATATATCGACCTGCCCAATTTACATTCTGGTAGAATTGTCAAGAATCAACTCCACTAACTCTCAAAGACATATCACAGAGAAAAAAAATAGTACTGGAAATATAATATGATAACTCCATATATGGGGAGTATAAACATATTTATATGCACATTATTTCTTAAGTACTTAATCATTAACTTTAGTCTATGGTATTGTAAACAGTTTACCTTAACACCAAGGAAATATCTCAATTGACTCTCATTATACTCAAAGTATATTCAATCTACATCATTATTAAAATTAAGAAATAATAGGTATAAAATATAATCACAATTTTATATAACTTATTTTTTGACAGATTTGCAATTGGTAAGTAGGTTCACGTCGTTACAGTATGTTTATGACGTTATTATAAACTGAAGCTCTTAAAGAGAGAGTGATAAAAATCTTATTAAAGAAAGAGTAATAAACAAACGCTCTTGCAATTTAAAATAAAGAAATTTGAGAATATCTCCATAATTTCTTTTATGTTTCTTATGAATCCTTTGTGCCCGAGATATTTTGTAGTACTCTATAAAATCAGGAAAATATGTCAATTTTTGGCATTTTGAGATGCCCCTCTGGTAACAAGACGGTAGATGTTATTGTTTCTTACGTAAACTGTATAATATAGTATTATCCATCCAATATTATAGTTTGAAGAAAAGTCTATTGTAGTATTTGAATATTTTGCTGTAAAGTGCTAAAAATTGGCATTTTTCTTATATAATCCTATAGTAAATGTACCTGTATTTGGAGACGGACCCTCAAATATACATCGAAGGCAGATTTTCCCAAAACTTCGCACGTAGACTGAACTTTATGTAAGTTTTATATGACATAAAAATAAAAAGTTTTTCTATTGTAGTTTTCACACAAGAAAACCACATTGGACCTCCTTAAATTATACATCTATACTTAAAAATTAACAAATTGTGTAGATATACTCTGAGACGAATGCACAACAGTTCTTACCTAAGCCTGTAGGAAAACACTAGGTATAAGGTGATGTCCCTAAACTATATTCAGACTTCACTCGCATAGTAATCAATAATTATCGTATACATGGTATATATTTAATTAAAAAATCTACTTTCATTTTTGAATAACAGTCTCGAAATACCACTGAAGAGAAAAAAAGTGGTGGCGCATCTAAGTAAATGGCATTTTAAAGCTGACAACAAGCAAGCGCTTATTTATTTCATAAAACGTCAATAACGAATTATTAAATCAAAACTTGATTTAAGTGATATAAAAGAAATAAGCTTTGGTCATTGATTAAAAAACAAAATATGCAAATCATTTCCGTTGATGTCTGTTCTTGCTATTCGTTGAAAGTTCTGGAAAGTCATGTGCCATCGAATCCAATGTCTTTTAAAAATTAAGTTTAGACAATTGTTTATCATGAATGGACAAGGAAATAAATGTAGAGAAAATTGTAACACAATGATTTTGGGAATATATTTTAGTAAGTTGTGCTAATGTTTTATAAATAAATGTCGATTAATTTCCATGAATATATGTTTAGATAGTATCAAACAGTACATTTTGATTTTTAAATGCTTTAAAAAATTGTGTTTTGATGAATACATTTCAGTTAATTTTCTACACAAGGTCTTTTATTTTAAAAACTTATTTACACCTCGGAGGCCTGTTTGCGCATTTGGAATGAAAACTTAGCTTTTTTTCAGTTATTTATTTGTAGTGCGTAATGTATAACAGAATGAAGTTTAAAAATAAATACAATTGTAAAGTGTTCAAAATGTCAAAGAAATGTCTAAATTGGGAAAATTTTGTTCAGTGCTTTACAACGAAAAGATGTATTAAACTGTTCGTAGCTTATGATATGTATGTAAACATTTATTATATAATTGAAAGATCTGAATATATGTATACCTTGTTTATAATACAATGTACAGTTTAATTTGTCCAATCCAGCTACCGCCGGTTCCATGAAATTTGGCCGGATTAGACAAAATCCGGAGTGCAGGAAAATATCAATTTCTAAAATTTTCGTTGTTTATTTAAAAGTACATTATATACATATTATAAATAAAATTAAATGAAGAAATCAATCAATATTTTAGAGGCTAGGAATTATAAAATAGTCTCACGTAACTTTAGTTTTCCGCGAAGTTTGAAAGTCGGGTGAAATGTTACCTCAATAAAAATATACGGGCACGCATGAGATAAGCCTACTATGTATAAAGTGGACCAGGGTCCAAGACCATAAACTGAAAACAGACTCAAGTAACAAATTTAGATCAGTGTAACTTTAAAACTTCTTCTGATAAGAAAACAAGATTTTTACTGTATGCTCAAATGAGAATATTATGCAAACCCACGAATTCTTGATAACGTATGTCTTCTGATTAATAAGCTATTAAAAATCAAAATTTTGTCTTAAGTCTGTTCTCAGTTTATGGTCACCAAGCCAAGTTTCGCTTGTCAAAGACCTCATTCAATGTACAGGGGTATTACCAGTAATGCACAATTATTTACGATGTGCTTATTATTAGATTGAACTTATAATTTTTTAATATGTAAAAAATTACGTCTCCCCCCACAGTGTTATGGCGCCATTTTGAAATGCGTTCGATTTTCGATCCCGATTTATATTTTGATTTGTAAATCGCATAACTATATTTTTGTGTTTATTTTTATAATGTGGTAAAGGAGGGAGACAAAGTTATTTTGATTGTAATTTAATCAAATAATTTATTTTCTAATTGGGCTTTGTCACCGCCGCATTTTACTGAGTTCGTCTCAATGCACTAAGGATGCTAATGTAAACACGGATTATCATATCCACCACGAAAGGTGTTAATTGCTTTGAAGTTACTCAGGTATGGCCAGATAAGAGGGAATAATAACTATTAATTATGAGCAGTTGGGACTAGTATGGCCGTTCGGAATACAGAATAGACAGTATCTGGACTACACAGAATTTTTTATAATGAATTTGTTAAAGAAGTGCATGGGACTAAAATTTATAGACGGAATGGACAAAAGTCCGGAGTACTCAGAGTCCGGATTGGACAAATTTTACTGTACATGAATCTGTCTGATGTGCCATTTGGCATAAGGAAAAAAAGAATTGAATTAACATATAGTACAACAAAATAAAGTTGCTTTATAACATGCAAGAAGAGGTCTTTAGTGAAATTGATATTTGTAGAACTAAAAAAACTTTGAATATATTCAGTATTTGTACACAAATTCAAAATTAATGGGTTTTTTTTAAGTTCTGTAGCTCTTATTTAGTATTTTTTAAAGTTTTCTTTTCTTATGCTGATATATAATACATACGTTTTATACGCATGACTTCAAAGAAAAGTCCGAAAATATTTATTTGTTTACCTCTAATGGAGGCTCAACTAATTACAATAAACTGCCCCCCCCCCAAAAAAAAAGAAAATAGTGGACATATACACCTACTAAAGTGTTAGTGAACAACTAAAAAAATCATAGTATGATTCTTTTTTTGTGAAAAATGTGTAATATTCTAACAAAATCTATAACCATATTATTTACAAGGGGAAAAGGGTTAAAACTGAGGAAATTCGGATTATTGTGAAAATGATCTTTTTAAGGTATGAGCACACTTCTGCCCCACAATTTTTTTTTCATGAATAGAAACCTTTTGATGTTAGTTTTAAACTGAACCCTAAATAAATTTGGGGCAGACCTGTGCTCTATGTAAAATTGACTATTTAACCCCAAAATGTGATAAATCAAGCAAATTCCTGATTTTCTATGATTTGGGGGCTATAGATCTCAGGCATACAAGTATGGAACTCCTAGACTTTTTCCACTTTGATAAACTACAATACCTAGACTACCTTTTAAGCAAAAAAATTTTGGCCAAAACTTTGATTTTGACCATTTTACAGGGCATATTTTGACCCTTCGTGGGCCAAGCTCTTTGTTTATAAAAGATTTATTTCACAAAAATAATAATAATAATAAATGAATAAAAGAAAACAAGATTGATTTATACATACATATGGGAATGATCCAACAATTTGAGATCAAAAATATGATACATAAGTAAGGTGATACATGTACAATCGTGTAAAACAAGAATAAAAACAAATATGGAAAGATTAATACATGTAGTAAAGGATCTTTGTTTTATTTGGTTTACGTTTCAGGGGAGCTTAGAAACTCCTAATCTTTATAAGGGACTGTTCCACTAAGTGTCATTGTTCCCTCATACATGCATGTAACGCAACCTTTGAAAAAATGCTTTTCAATAAGTTTGATATTCTGCAAAAAAGATATATTTCCTTGCAGACGGAACATTTCTAGTATTTTAACACTTTTTATGGGGATTCATATCAAATTAGAATGAACCTTATTTATTTTACAATTTTTCAAAGTGAAATCCTACAGGAATTTTTTACGCCTGGTCATCATCTTCGTACTAGAAACATAAGATCCATTACTAAAAGGTGGATCCCACGGCTGATGCCAATGCCCGGGGGGATAAAGTCCATTGAGGAAAACATCATGGCAGTAATTAAACCACCAGCCACCTCGGTGTTCAGTAGCACAGTTTCCTGGGGACCGGTCGGTATCCTTGTCAAAAGTGGTAAATCTGGCATTGTTTATTACGTCAGATAACGGTGCGTTCCTGATCTTGTCTTCTGTAAAATTATGAATATCATCGTTAATTACACACATTTATTATAAAAACCTTTTTCTAAAAATGCTTGAATTAAAAAAAAAAAATACAAATCAAAGAAACACAAAGATTGATTAACAATGATGTTTAAAATGTTATAAACCATGATGTGCAACTATTATTATTTTAAGCAATATTTTCGTTAGATAATTGTGTACATTATGCTTACTATGAGAGAAATAAGAAGTGTCTGATAAAGTATATTTGTAATTCTGTACTCCGTTAAAGGGAGACTCAGGTTCCATGTCTCTTTGCCACATCGCTATAAACCCAAATGCGGCACGTAAACATAGGTAGTGACTGTTTCGTTTCTTACACGTAACACCAAGTATTTAAAGTTAAATTTATGGAACATTAGGATGAGACCTTTAAAGTCGACTATCCGTGTCAAGGGATGAGCTGGCACAGTATAGAACTCTCAATGGAACTGAGGGTCGAGCTTAGGTAATGTTTCAATCACTGCATGGGCAGACAGCGAAGTCTCTATATAAATGAAAAATCCTCAAATGTGAGGTTAAACAGCATGTAGTCAAATAAACCCCATACTACACGTATTAAGACGTCGATGATTGATTGATGGTATATTGTTTAACGTCCCTCTTGAGAATTTTTCACTCATATAGAGACGTCACCGTATGCCGGTGAAGGGCTTCAAATTTAGACCTATACTCGGCACTCAGGGCCATTGAGCAGTGAGGGTTTTTTATCGTGCCAGCGCCTTCGGTGACACGGGACCTACGTTTTTAAGGCCATATCCGAAAGACCCGTGACTTTCACTTCTGATTCCGAGCGCCTGGCGAAGGAACAGTCGCTACCTATTTTTTCGTCTTAGGTTTGACGCGGCGCCGGGAATGAGAATCGACCCCTGGCCTCCCAATCACGAAGCGAACGCTCTACCACTAGGCTACCGTGAACGGTATTAAGACGTCGAAATTGAATGACAAGATGAAAGAAGTGAAATGAGTAGTGTGATACATGTAAGTGTAGTATTCCAGGTAGTTTCCATTTACGATTACTTATTATATAATTATTAATTTCAATCTAAGTTTTAAAATTTTGTTTTCTACTACTTAAAATCAAAACATTCTTAAGTTGAAAAAATTTCAGAAAAGTTAACAGACTTTTTTTGTTTGCTTATTTTTTTTTTGTTCTTTGTTTGGGGTGTTGAACCTTTATTTTTGATTCTACAAATTTATTTTAGTTAATATCAAACAGAATTGTTGTTTCTACTATTCTACAACAATGAAAATTAAAATATGTTTAAAACTTTCTTTTTATTCACATTCAATTATTATTTTTCCCCTCAAAAATCGTTCTTCCCAATTTTCCTAATATTGAATCTTCCTTGCTTGTTCAAAATAAAAAAAGAGAAAGATATTCTGCTAAAAAAAATCTGAATATTTTTTCTTTAACATTACGTTGTTAATAATTAATATTTTTAAATTAATATTACCTATAATTTACCCCCTATATATCATTCAGAAACGTGGATGCTTATTTCTTCTTCAAACTTTTTCAGAAAAATGTTGATTTTACAAACCCAAGCTTCCCGTAGCTTTTCCACCAACATTCAGTCTGTAGCCATTGTTTTGGTTGTTTACGAAGAAGAAATCATATCTTATAAACATGTTTGTTTTGTTCAAAGATGTTATCTCTATGTAGAGAGAACTTGTTTTCTCCTTTGTCAATTGATGTATGATGTCATTTCCTGAATGAAAAAGAAATGAGTTGAGAATAGGTATTTAAAACTTCTTTAATTTTGAAAGGAAAATTGTTGATGACTTGTAAATATAAGATATGATTTGAAGTTTAAGAGTATGTATTACACCAAGTTTTCAAAGAACAAAGGAAATATTGATAGCTACCCGAGAACAGTACCAAAATTTTATTTTAGATTTCTTTTCTGCATGATCCAATTTTTTCTTTAAATCAAACATTTAGATGTTTTCTCTATGGCACCTATAAACACACTTCTAATGTTTTGAAGGTCCGTGCTTGTTCTGCTCTTATTTTGTATTTCTAATGGACTTTTGATCTAGAATGTTGTTCGTTATCTCCATATTGTACATTAGGAACTTTTTGTATCGTTCTTGAATCATGACATATGTGCCAACAATATTCTCTCTCTCTCTCTCTCTCTCTCTCTCTCTCTCTCTCTCTCTCGTACATAGGCTTATTTTTACGTCATTTTTTTTTATCATAAGAACAATTTTTTTTCTCTGATGCTGAACAGAGGAAGTTCAAAGGTGGCAGGGGGCATAATGAACTGCATTTTACAAAATGTAGAAATAACCAGTATAGCCAGTTACATTTATTTAATCAGAGTCTTTTTTATAGATGGCTATAGCCATTTTTTAATTTTGGAGGGTGATAATTAATAATGATATTTTCCATTCCTACGTCGATACGATATATCCTGGTGAGCTTGAAATAAAAGATACCATCACCTGCATGCGGAGTTTATATATCTCGGTTGATTCGATACGCAAGAGCATGCACTATGTGTAAACAATTTCTTAAACAAGGTAAATTATTGACAAGAAAGTTGGTGGAACAAGAATATCAGTAGTCTCGTTTAAAAGCATCATTTCGTAAGTTCTATGGTCGAAACAATTACATTGTAAGCAAATACAATTTATCACTGAGTAAAATGCTGACTGACTTTTTTCATACCAACTGTTACTGTTAGTAAGTCTTTATACACTGAATTGACGATGCTTTTTTTCCGTTATTTTCTGATCATGACAAGGAGCACAAGGCGGGTGTGAACGGTCGGCAGGGGATGCTCACTCCTACATGGCACCTAATCCCTCCTCTGATGTTTGACAATGAAAAAAGCATGCAAATTGCAAAATTGTTCCTGAAGCAGTAATTTTATGTTATTGTAAATTTCTGTTACCAATCCAATAGCTTCTGGAAACGTCTCCAAATCCCAATTTATAATCCTTCCAATTTCGTTCAAAGCTTACTTTGCCGGATTGTCTTCTTTGTATCACCTTAAATGTTTAGTTATATGAAATATGAAATAAATCTTGTACTTGCAAATTACAATATTCACATTTATTGCAACATTTTATTGCTATACCTTAAAAAATTCCTTTTGAAAAAGCTAAACAAAAAAGTCAAACATTTCAAAATTCAAAATTTTGGGGGGTTTTAAGATGAAAAAAGAGAATGTACGGATTCACTTTATGGTGCTTTTATAAAATAACATGATTTTTAATATAATTTTGAAAATATTTTTTTCACAATTTAAAAAATATATAAAAAAAAACTCAAAACACATGTAGATATGAAAAAAAAACATAAGAGCACCAGTCTGATAGAAGTTTGGTTAATCAAAATTATTGCAAAACTTAATAATGATAAAAATAGGTACATTAGCCGTGGTAAACTCGCTCAATTTTTCTCAAAAAGAACCCCCTTTCTCTTTCTTACTGAAAAATGTTAACCCTAGTGCTCTTTCAGAAGTTTCAATTGTTTTAGAGCTTTATCTGAAACAAACTAGAATCAACAATTCACTATGATTTTTTTATACATGTATAAAAAAAAAGAAATACATGTTCATGTAAATAGAGATCTTTATCAGTTTTCGTGTTCAAAAGCGCACTGATTAGAGCGTCTGCTCTAGAGTCGCGAATAAAGGAGAAAGAATTCCACTGTGGGACTTGGGGACCATTCTTTCAAGATAAGACCGTATAAACCGAGGTACAATGTCGCAGTAGGTGCTGATACAAAAAAGATCTCTCACTGGTCAATGGCCCTGAGTGCCGAGTAGAGGACAAATTTTGTAACTCTCCAGCGACAAGTGGTGAAGTCTCTTTGTGAGTATAATATTCTCGAGAGGGACGTTAAACAACATGCAATCAATCAACAATCTGTAATTCTCAATTAAAAAAAAAGATGAAAATGCGATAAGTTTGAAACGATGAAGACAGCAGCGCCGAAAACCAAACCAAGCTAATATGAGTCATGGATTAATTTGATCTACACATGTATATTCTTTTCAAATCATAATCAAATGTTGTCTAAGAAATTTACATTGGCGAAACAAACCCACATGTACCAATGTATTGAACTCTTTGCAATATACCTGAAAAATTATTTAGATTTTTTTAGGTTACTAACAAAGTGTTGTGTTGTACATTTTGAATAATTTCAAAAGTACATACAGTCCAGCCACCTCCGTCTGTCTCCATATCACAGTAAACCTGTACACAACGAAAGTTAGGGTCCAATCTATTCCAGGGACAAATAATGTACACTCCAGAAGTCGTAACGTGTCTTCTATAGAGTTCTGTGCAGTCAATGGCTGATGTGCCTTTATCTTTAAAAAAAGGTATATTAACTATTCATCAGAAATTTCTGATAGGAATTAAGCAAAATAATTCATTTCAGTATTATAGAGTAAAATATTTTACCATCAACGGTATTTTTCACAGTTGTGTATAATACTGCAAATGTAACAAATCCACTCAATAGACCAATGAATAGTGTGGTGATCAAAAATATCATCATATTTTTATTCCGAAACTGACATATCTCCTTTTTCTGTGGACAATGTTCCAGCTCATGAGATGAAGAGTTAGTTTCAATCTTCAAAGATATTAAATCTCAACAAAATCTTAATTTTCATGGTCAATACACATTTGTTTAATATCGATCGTTGTATTTACTGGTTAATGTATACATTTTATAAAAAATAACAAAAGATATTGTATAAAGATACAGGTAACTGTTATGTGTGTTTTTAGTTTATTCAGAAAGACATCTGCATAATGTACCTTATTTTGTGTAACATATACCTGAATTTCCGTGAAGAGAAAATAATTAAAACTATAAACATAAGCAGATTGATAAGGTGTACGTGAATCAGTAGGTATTATAAGGGAAAATACATAGTATTACATGTATGGTATTTAAATATAAACCCTATATATTACAGTAAGATGAAATGATATTTTACAAACATAATTTTAAATCATTAAAAATATCTCACCGGATCAGATGTTATATTATCGCTGGATCCCTGAGGGAATAAAAAAAACCAATTAACAATTACATAGTTTTACGTTATACACTATAGAAGAGATGTTATTAACTTACAATGTAACAAATGAGTATAAATTGATATGTTAAAATTAATGTTCAATATATACATGTTTATCTAATATTTAGTCTATATGTTTATTTTTTCCTTAGTTCAAGCATCATAAAAACTCCAAATCATATGAGATGTAATATAACACCGTATTTGTTTAGGCGGGCCCCCCCCCAAAAAAACCAATCTGTCACACTCGTGTTTTTATAGGTGAAGGTGGGAATTTTTTTTTTTTTTTGGATTGACGATAAAAACTTCAGATTGTTGTGGTTTAGGAGAATACACATCAAATACACTTTTTTTTAAAAAATTTTTTTTTTTTTAGGAGAGACGTAAAAACTTCAGATTGCTAAGCTTTTTGATAAATGTGATTAACTTTTCAACCGTCTGCTTCTCTTACTAATGAAATATACCCTTAATACTTGTGCATTGGGTTTACATCCCTCAGTTGATTCGATACGAAGGGGGATGTTTCATGCATGAATAATATCTAAAACGAGACAAGCTATTCAAAAACAAGTTAACGAAACAAGGATATCAATAGCATTGTTTGAAGTTATAATTTCGTTTTTCTGGTTGATTAATTCATTGACTTTTTCAGAAAATACAACATATCCTTAAGTCAAAATTATCAAGTTTGTATTGTTTTCTTTGATATTATTTGACAGTAAATGGTCAAAATCCAAAGAAAAGAAATTAGAATAAAATAAATTGTTTTGAGGAACTGTAATGAATGGTTTGCATCTTTCAAGAAAATTTTATATATAAATCTTTTTACCAAATACGTATGCATTTCCTCTCGAACAACCGCTGTGCCAAGATGATCGTCATTTATCTGTCGAATAGAAAACAGAAATATATAAATGTCATTTATACATGTATGGTATAAAAAATAATTCTTTATATAGAAACGATATTTGGTCGAAATTTCAAAGTTATTTTACTGATATAATTATGCATTATATACTGATTATCTATATGTTTAAAGTCAACCATTATTGAAGGTTTCCACGGTTTGATGGAAATAATGTTTTTCTTTTCCTTGTTTTTTTTAAGATTATATCTACAAAAATTCATACAGAGGGAAAACGTCAAAGGTCACAAACATCAAAATAATGACTAAGATTTTTTCTTTATGTATTTAGAATTGTTGAAAAAAATGTGCTGCTTGTGTATGCAGATCAGCGTAAGTAGCTTAGTTTCTTTTTATTTCTTAATATAGAACTGTCGAAATCTAGCACAGGTTATGTCGAGAATTGCGTTTTAAAACCTTAATTATGTCGCCCCAAACGACATGTTTTTGTTATACAAGCTGTTTCTTGGAGATGGCTGGAACAATATTCCTGAAACTTTCCTCAAAGGAGGATCACTAATTCTAGCTGTGGTTTCAAAATGGCTACCGTTTCCACGGACACCTGCAAAAGGTGACAAATTTTGTCCGCAAGTTTTCTCTCTACTCCCTTGAACATTCTTCATGAAATTTTATTGATGTAATGACTAGTATCTGTAATTGTTCTCATTGGATTTAAATATTGAAAATTGTCAAAAGTTTCCATGAAAATTCTTTTCAACTTCGATTTTTAAATGAAAGTACTGATGCGAGTTGATGGTTGTCCAACCTTAGCTAATGGGTGAAAAATTGAAAGTATTGTCCAGTTCGGGGCGACACTCGCTATTGTTTGCAGTAGCAAGCTTTCTAGTTATCCTTCTTATTTCCATGTTCATTGAAAGGCATATCAAACAAACGGGAAATGGAACTTTTTTAACTGAATATGAACTCTGTTGGTGAAATGAAAATTTCCGAAATAACATTTGAAGAATTATGTGTTTTAAAAAAATGTACGCAAATTTTCTTGTGTATCACAAATGATTTCTTTTCGTCGTTTTTTGAAACTCTGTGACCTGTTATTTGCATTTAATTCCTTTCCATATCAAGTTCGTCGATGGCGAATGGAAAAGAGTTTTGCTTAGCACGTGAGAGGCCCCCTCTTCAAATCCCTGTTGTTTTTATTTTTATCAATTTTTAATTGATAGCATTTAGCTTATGTCATGAGGTATGGCGTGTACAAAATATTACTGTGTAATAATTTTTTTATATTAGCAGAATCTTCATAAACCCATTTAAAGAATAAGCAGCCAAATCTTCATAATCATATTCTTATTTGACATGTTTTTATTAATACATTGCATAATTCATTCAATATGCAAATTATGGGAAGAGTTTTTAGGGTTGGGATTGGAGGAAGGGGTTCGACCCCACAATCTGAACATTCCCCATTTTTTCCTTAACCATTGCACACAATTTATCTGAATTATTTCGTTTTTTTATATCATAGTCACGATAAAGCAAAAATTACGGTAACCATTCATTAGACAAATAAGATTGATAAAATTTAAGAATTCAAAAATTGACAATATTTATTTGCATTGAAAGATTAAGGACAATGGAATTCCTTACAACTTCGTATCCGTCCTGTTGATCCTCATTCAGTCTGTTAAAATCTAGATTCGATACATTCATTTCTTTTTTTTGTAATCTACAAAAGGAATACATGCATACTTAAATGTAATTTAATTTCCGTTACAAAAAACATGCCTTTTTAAATCTTTGCTCAATCCATACAATAGAAATAATCACTAGTATTTTAGGAATGGAAATCAAATAGAGAATTGCCGATCGGTAAATTGCAAGACCCTTAACCGGTTTATCGTATCAAAATAATAATTTAAAGAAATAGGAAATAAAAGATTAAAAAAGACGTTAAACAACATATTATTAATCAATCGAACAGTGTACCCAACTAATTTGGCAAAATATATGTTAATTGTTATCGAAACATTAATAAACATTAATAAAAACATTAATGTAACTGGTAATTCACATGTACAATTAGCGTAAACCATCGCTTTTTCATTTCAAGGAAATAAATAAGACAAAATTTCATTGCTCCAAAAATCTACATGTATGTTTAAATTTTTAATTATCATTTTGAAGTTTCCAGTGGTGATATAAAGTTTGGAATACCACAGTCATTCAATTTTATTACTTTCATTGTAATCTGTGTCTGTTTAATGTTTTAAATGATATCAAAATAAAGAAGCATTCTGAGAGTATTGCATATTAAGCAATACATGTCTTATACAGCTCAACAAACCTTTTAAGCTCACATGGTTTTTCGCAAAAATTAAGGTCACATTAATTTGATATAATATTGTGTATCTAGACAACAAAATACATTTTAAAAATACTTGGTTACATAATTTGAGTTTTATTTCATTAACTGAAACTTAATTCACACAAATCAATTGGTAGAACTTTGATATATTTATGGATAAAAAATAACAACTATTATCATTTGAATTTTTGTAGTTTCTTGCCAATTACAGCTGTCCTTTTATCCTTTCTTTTGAAAACAATAACTTTTTATTTCTGTATAGACAGACTCTTTAATTCAGGTTGGTAACAGTAATTTTCATATGTTTAACTGCTTTCTATGTTAATTAGGTGAAATTTTTAAGAGTCAACTTCTAAAATCTATAAACATGAAAGATTCATCCCACTGCTTTGAACGTTTTAAACCGTAAATGCATAAGAATTTTCCTTTTCATAGAAGGAATTTACTATTCAAAAAAAAAATAAATAATACTTCATTATGCTACCCTTTAATGTGGTTTCCTTTTGCAATATCATCCCTTTTCGGTGCTACATTTCAAAGAAACCACGAGGAGTATGGTAAATGAGCAAAAATTATTTTAAAATACTCAACTTTAGGAAGAAAATTTAAAAATTTCAATTACATGGGGTCAAGAATAGGTCGTTTTATACAATTTGTAAAAACCTATCTTATAATCGTATTGTCGAATCATCCTATCATTTACTTTTAGATTTTCCTTTAAAACATCCGCTTTGGAAACCTAAGATGATAATTTTAAAAGACATTTATGCTTGACATTATATACGTAATGTAACAAAGGGTTATGCCATTGTACTTCAGTTCCAAAATGGAAATTTTTATTACAACAATGTGACCTTAATTTGTGCGAAAAACCATGTGAGCTTAAATAGTTTGTTGAGCTGTATACCAGATTCTCCTTTTTTTAGGATACAACCTAGTTTGGACTTGAATTTAGTGCATAACAAATCCAATAGTAATCCAAATTATGAAAAATAGAAATGCCAAAATTCCGTCAAAAATCAATGAATCGGAACGAAGTTCAAACTTGATCAGTAACAATGTTGAAGATGTATTCACATACCAGAAAATAAGCTCTATATCTGCACGCGTTTAGAAAAAAATCGCAATAACCAAGTAAGACAGACAGACACAGAAGAAACATGTGGTCCCTTCTGGTTTCCCCGTTTGGGGACTAATTAAGGATAAAAATGTTTACTATAGGTCACCAAATAATTTAATTT